TACTTACGGAAGAATAGAATTGTGAGACAGTACAGATGTACTATAAGTGCAATACACAACACAATGTTAATTTTCGGATTTACTGCAATAAATTAAGGATAACCAGATTGGTTTGAAAATACTACGTGTAAAATAACGAAAATTCTAAATTTATCACGTCTGAAAACTACTAGTATTAGTACCCATAGTCTATGAAAATTTCCGGTCTTAACGATTATTTTTAACAATAAGAAATGATAAAACCGTTATTTCCGTAAAATTTCCCGTTTTTCTTAAGTTTTTTCTCGGTTTTGCCAAATTATCAAGAAAACAACAGAAAAGAAAAATCGAAACAATTTTAAATAACGAATTTGTCAGTTCTTTTCCCAATTATTATGAAAACCTATTATATAAACACAAAAATAACTCCTCCGATGCATTCCAATGTAATCTTCTCAAATTCAAAATCAAAAATAACAGAAACTGTATTTATGTATATATTTCTCGTTTTCCTGTTTTTTTTATTTATTTTTTTTGTTTAAAACGATTAAGAAAACTACAGGGAAAATCAAAACCTGACACCGGCTAGACAAAGTTTTTAAAAAACCTCTTGTCGTTTTTAGATTGGAATAAGATTTCTGACAGTTAAAATGTTATTACACAGAAATAATATGACACACTTTATAGTATACAAACAATACATTGAGGTGAACCTCAAAACTTAAAAAACAACAACATAGTATTTGCTTGTTTTTCAATATTTCATTAAAAATAAAAAAAAATTGTTTACCATTCACCACTTGATTTTTATTTTTAAATTTAGATAAAAAAAAAACCTCCAGTATTGTTTGGTAAAACAGTTTTAAACAAATTTATAAATTAATATGAGTATTGGTCTTATTTGATTTAACTTATTAACTTATTGCTTACCCGAAAAAATCCTTTCAGAATAGTTATTCGATGGAAATGATTTATCGTGGATTACAAGTATAGATATATAATTGTATGCATCTTACCTTTTAAATTCCCGCCTAAAACAGTGTTGCATCCATCAGCATCATCAGTTTTTAGTTTGTATTTGGTAGGTACTATATGGATAAAATTGACCAAACGGAAAGTCTTGGAAATTTAACACGAAGTTTATTATAAGTTGTACTAAGTAGTAAAAAAAAAAAAAAAATGTTGAGAGTAGGTAATTTTGTAGTTTTTTTTTATAAGAATTGAAATTATGACGAAAATCGTAAAAATTACGGCATTCAAAAACATGTGTAACCAAACTTCACTCAGAATCGTTTTTCATTAGCAATGGTTTGTCGTTTCTTACATACCACCAACAACAGCAGCCTTCTTGGTGATTTGAACTGCTTTCCGGCTTTTTATTTTTAGTTGGATCGATTTGAAATAGAATATATCATTACATAGGTGTAAGTTTTCATTATTAAAACGATAACAAGTAATTTTTGTGCACAAATCACAGTACATTAAAAAATATTGTTAATTATTTTTATGTCTGTTGATTTTTCTTTAATTTAAATTATTTCCCCGTTCGTGAACTTGTGTAGCCTAGCTTAGCCTTTAAATAGTTACGGGTTTTATCTCTACTGTACACACACATTTTAAAATATAGAGATGCACATATTACGTATTCATTATTATTGTTTAATTATAATTATACATGTCATTTATACATTGATATGATCCTTGAAAATTCTAATTCGCATCGGTCATTCACATCTTCGGGTATCAACCGTAAAACGTCATCTATCTATAAAGTCGATTTAAAATTAAAAACACTAAAACATTTTCCTCATTTTATACTGCATACACATACACTGTACTACTATTTCAACTAATACTTCATCAATTTGTGCAGTTTCAATATAGGTTACCGTTTCAAAAACAAGAGTAAGTAATGGTTTTACCATCGAAAATGAATATGAAAAAAAATAACGTAAACGTACAATTGTACAGCTGCTCCTTTCTAAAATTTTCCATAAAACAAATTTCGAAAAAAGTTAATACTTTCCGAAATAATGATGAGTGTACCCATTTAAATGGATCGCCTTCCACAATATAGAAAGTGAAAAAACGCATGAATCAGATCTTAAATATAGCCTGCTTTGATTTTTCAATCTAAATTTACCGTATAAAATTATATTGTATTAAGTATTTTATTTTAGCCGTTTTACACGTCGCACGGAATAACGGTATAGAAATAATAACGTTCGTCGACAACAGACGAATAACAGGTTGTTTCCGGCATTTAAAAAGACACACTGCGGTATTGTTAAGTGATTTATACGCTATATAGCGGTCCTTCAATTGAATCCGAAACGCCCGGGGATCACGAACCACAGGATAAAAATGTCGGATCCGAAAACTACGAATCTATATCAATAGATACACTTACCCTAGGCGGTAACACAACTACTGGAAACAAATTTAATGAAAAAAATCACGATACCAATAAATCGTTTTATTTGTGTTCGTCTATCGGCATTTATAAAAATCCAAAATATAACAATGCGTATTTCGCCTGGGTACAATAATAATACGAATATTTCAATATCCGTAGCGAAATTTTACGATGGAAAATAAAAAAAAAAAAATAAAGGACGAAACAAGATATTATCCTCTGAGCGTCGTATAATTTCTATGGGGTATTATCAAAACGTGTTTACAATACGGGGTGGGTTTCGAACCGATAATAATACATCAATTGAGATCCGCAAAACGTTATTGGTATTCCGACGGGTCGGCCGTGTCGGCACACTTTGGCGGCTCGTTTTGTCGCCTATTAATCTCGAAAAAGGTCGTGACGTTATTGTACAACGGTGAAATCGATTTTCACATTATTTATCGAAAAACACCGTTACTCGGAATGTCCGGTGAAAAGAATTTTTTTACCGTATTTGTCTTTTTAATCTCTTCGGGAACGACTTTGTGCGTTACCCACATTGATACCCGCGGGTGTGCATCGCATATAATACCTAGGTAGGTACATTGAATGCCATTACACACGATTCTCGCCGTACAACATAATGATGTGTTTTCTTATACATTTGTTCGCGAGCGTTATTGACTGCAAACAAACACTATAGAAATTGTAAATTATAAAAGATTTTGAAAAAGAAAAGAAACGAAAGAAAGAATAATATTTGTTCGATCAATAAGATCATTTTTATTGCCGGAGATGATTTCCGAAATAAGTCTTTTTTTTTTTTACGCGGAAACGTGTAAGAGGATCATGTGACCGACGACCGTATCGGTTGACTACACAATAAGTACTCGTATTATATACGGCGTTAACTGCAGGTAGTAATTCTAATTTTTCGCTTTCTGAACGGTTTTTTTTTTTTTTTTTTTGGAAGGTAGGTAAAAAAAATCTCGATCGATTTTGCACGGTCTGCAGCTATTTCGTAATAACATTTATATTTCGGTTATAAGTTTCCAGATCGTTGGACGATTTTGTCTAACCATACGTGAAAATCTCTCGGTTTAACATACAATTTCTACGTAATCATACATGCGCGCAGAACACAATGAAAGGGGAGGTGGCAAACATTGTGGAATATTTGTTTGGAGTGGAGGGGACCGAATAGGTTCACTTCGTTAATACAACATTTATTAAACAATATCATATATAATATTAATTAGATTAATTATTTAGTACCATATAATATAATTATACTAATATTGTATATTTATATTATAGTGAATTTAAGTACCTATAAAAAAAAAAAACACTGAAATACCTCGCACATGAGTGCAGCCATTTTTGTAGGTGAGAACTTGGGATGGTAGAAGTGGGAGAATTAAATGTATATCTGTTAGCAGCGATAAACCATTGTTAACGAAAAAAAAAAACGGTTCTGAGATGAGTTCAGATGAATGTGTTGCTTTGTTAACAATATAATATACGCCATAAAATGGTAAAATAATTACATAGGCATTAAATATTTTCTTTAATAATATTCGACTAATATCGTACCTATTTTCCCGTTTTAAATTTTGAGTGGAGCATTGAGAGAGGTCATTTATTGAAATTCTCATTAATATTCGAGATAACGAGGAAAACTCGGTTTTTTTGAAAAATATTGAAAGATTACAAATAAGGTTGTTATTTGCGACAGTTTTTATTTATTTTTTGTTATTAATAATTTGTTATTATTTTAAATGTTTTTTAAACAATCATTGTTGTCATGGAAACACACATTGTTGTAATCATTTTACTATAATATAACGTATATCTTGTTGACAAAGCAACAATATCAACGGAACTCCGCTCAGAATTGTTTTTTCGTTAGCAATGGTTTATCATTGCATTCAGATATACATTCAATTTCTGTCTGTATCCTATGTTCCCAACTTCTCACCTACAACAGTGGTTACACCCACGTCAAAGTATGTCCGTCTTTTTTCCAACGTTTTTCTTATGTTTTTTCCCATTTCCCACGTCCCAGCGCTTAGTAAATATTTTCTGTTTTACAACTCGATTGCATATTTTCCTATCAAAAGAGTTGTTGCACTTGATGCATGATTTGTGGCGGAAAAGCTGATCACAGATAAAAAAAAAAAAAACAACACACACATAATAATAAAATTGATAGATCATTCGCTCCCATCCAAATCTAAAATCGAACAATTATATTATTCTAATCTCCCTATTTCGCCTATAACAATGTAAATCTCATTGTAAATAAATGTTTCTCCCTTACGCCTACAGTCATATATTTTAGTTTTAGCTTCCGTATACAATATAATTTGACATAAATGGTAAAAAAAATATTCATTATTCTTAACGAAAAATTGCATTACAAAAATTTAGCTTTATTATAATTATTTATGTGCGTTTTGTTATTGATAAAATGTTCATTTAAAATTTTGATTAAAATTTAATTTTGTTCATACCCGGCATCATACAAACGAACAATGCAATTTTGATCGTATTTAAATTTTGGTTAAAAAGTGGTTTTTAAAAACGGTTCATTAGAGCACGCAAGTTAATGTTCATAGTCTCCCTAAATATTGCGCATGACCTTCTTAACTTCCAGTGGCGTGCTAATCATTTTGTTAGCTATTTTGGCGGAATTGTCGACGAAAGGAGACAGTTCCATGTAATCGCGACGCAGCACTTCGATGTTCTCGCGGGCCTGCACAAATTCGGATTTTTCCATGCCCTCGCTCTCGTACCAGTGAACGAACGCCCGTTTCCGGAACATCAAGTCGAACTTATGGCATAGTGTCGTCCACGCGGAAACTATGGACGTGGTGTTGGATATCATACACACGGCCCGACCACCGCCCATCAGTTCGTCGGTATCGGAGATGGAGCGTACAGGTGGCCGGCAGTTTATGCCCACCTTGAACCCGGTCGGGCACCAGTTTACGAATTGTAGGTTTTTTATGTCCCGGATGTGCGATATAGCGTAGTTGATGTCCTTAGACACAATGTCACCGCGGTACAACATGCAGCACGCTATGTACTTGCCGGAGGCTAGGGAGCTGTCGTCCAGCTTGAACAACTGGTTGCTGGGCTCGAAGCACGCGTCCGTGATGTCTAAGGTGGACGGGCGTTCGTGCGCGGTCCGCTGGGCGGACATGAACGGCGCGTACGCCATCAACGGGAAGTGAACGCGCGGGAACGGCACGAGATTGGTCTGAAACTCGTTGATATCCACGTTCAAGGCTCCAGGGAACCGGAGGGATGCCGTGATGGACGACACCACCTGGCTGATTATCCGGTTCAGGTTGCCGTACGACGGCCGTTCCACGTCCAGTTTGTTGGCGCTGATATCGTATATCGCCTCGTTGTCCATCATAAATGCGCAGTCGACCGTGTCCAGCGTCTTGTGTGACACCATCATTGCGTTGTACGGCTCTACGACGGCCGTGGACACCCGCGGTGCCGGATACACCAAGACCTCCAGGTTGCTCTTTTTGGCGTACTCCTGCCTAAGGCACTCGGTAACGAGGCTGGTTAGCCCGGAACCTGTGCCACCGCCCATCGAGTGAAACACTATAAAACCCTGGATGCCGTTGCACGACTCGGCGAATATCCGGACGCCTTCCATCACCTTGTCCACATACGGCCGTCCCTCCGTATAGTAGCCCCGCGCGTAATTATTGGCCGCGTCTTCTTTGCCCGATATCAGCTGGTCCGGGTGATAGAGGTTCTTGCCGGGTCCCGTCCGGATCTGGTCGATCACCGTGGGTTCCAGGTCCACCATCACGGTCCGTGGTATGTATTGACCCGCCAGCGTCTCCTTGTAGAACGTAGAATTATCTGACGGACTCGGGTCTTGTGCCGGCCGTCCCGCAGCCTCCGGCGTTAATAACTTCCCGTCTCGGTCGATCCCGTGTTCCAGCCCGTATAGTTCCCACACCGCGTTGCCCATCTGCACGCCCGCTTGTCCCACGTGCACGGTGATTACCTGACGTTTTTTTTCCATAATGTGTTTCGCTCAGTGTTTTTAGGTGTCCCTGAAGTGTTTGCTTAGGTGTTTTTTTCGGACGCAACCGTATACGCGATTAGTCCGCAGTATTCGTGTAGTCAGTCAGTGTATTAGCCTTATGTTTTACTTTCCGGAGGTTTCACGAGAACCGTGTTGAAATTTAGTTAAAATTTAATGTTTAAAAATTTGGTTCATCAAAAATTTTCGCCGGTCGCAGAACTGAACGATTTACGTTCAACAGTCAATATTGACGAACTACTGGGCGCATTTGTTTCCGGCCAGATACAGCTAAATCACGTTGTTAACGAAGTCATTTTCGCATCAGCTGTTCGCACACGTATCGAAAACCGTAATTTTTTGTTTTCGAAACAACCACGACACAGTGGTATAAAATGATATGCATTTTTCTCGGAACCACGCAAATCGGAAGCGAACGAGAAACAAATTTGAGTAGAGAGGGGGGGAGGGGGGTTGGTTATAAAAAATATCTATCATATCTGACCTCCGTGTTGCCGTAAATCATTTTGCTATTTACGATTCAAATACTTTTTTATTTGTATATAATATAAAGGCTGTACGAAAAAATTATTCAATCAGTCGTTTTTACTTAGGTAACCAAAAATAAACTAGTTAATTTGTATTATACATAATGGTATTTTTTTTATATCATATAACACATTATCATATTGTGTTCTTTGCCTTAATACTGCAGGTATCTATGGTATCCACGATCTTAACAGATATTGCCGTTTTTAGAAAATTGAGACTAGATATAATATATTTATGTTCTCAATTGTTTTCTTTCGAAATTATACTGTAATATAATAATTTTGTGATACGGCTCTTATGCGTTGTCGACTTTTCTATTTCAAAATGTGACTTGCCAACGTTATTTTTCCCGTTCGCCGAGGCTACAATTCCTTTATCATTTTTCTGACAATAAGGTAGGTCTTTAATCTTAAATGGGGATTGCGATAACACAAAATAAATTAATAGTAATCCAGGTGATCGCGAAAATTGTCTCTACACTATCAATTATCATAAGGGAACGGGTTTATATGCACTTAAGCAAAAAAGCACTTAAAAGTAGATATTTTAAAAAAAAACACAAATGGTAAAAATGTTTTAAAGTATCCGTTCTAACGGTTCTAACCATATTAAATAAAATGTCCTAACACACAAATGATTAGAACAAAGTATTTTATTTTTTTTTTAATACGTACAAATTCAATTGAAAAAAAAATTACTTGACGATAATTTTTTTTTCAGTATTTAAAAATTACATATCTTTATTGCTCTTTTAAATATTTTTTAAGCGATTTCTTAGGGCTGTTTTAATGTTTTTAAGCACTTTTTTTGTGTACTTTAAGTACATATAAGTCCGTTCCCTAATGATCATACATAGTCTGCGAGCCGGTTTAGGTGGTCATTAAAATCTTAAAAGTAAATTTCACATTTTATAAAAACTAAGACAATTTGGAAAACGAACACAAGCAGCTTTATGATTTAACTTATTTATGAATGTTACAAAATATATTATCCCATTCAAATTGTATAAATTCGAAAATTAGTTTAGATGTTTCGGTGTACGTTTGTTACTCCACTTTTCGCCTAAACTGTTGAACGGTTTGAATTGAAAATGTGTAAAGATATCATTTTAGGTAAGCTATAACATTTAGACTATTTTACGCCCCCCTCCCGCATTCAACCACTATATGGGGGCTGACACAGGTTTATTGGTATTTGGGGACGAAAATCGGTTTCTTTTTCCATGGATTTATGTTACCTTGATGATACGGATGAACTAAAAAAATGTAAATCGCACAAAAAAATAACAAAAAAAACTGGTATTGGTGATGGGTACGGTCACTGATTTAGCTGGGCAGTTGCGTAGGCGTAATACATAAATGTATTTAATTTATACCTGTAAGCAAAGATAAACCATCGCCCGCGAAAAACGATTCTGAGTGAAGCTTGAATAGGCAATTATTCTTTAAACAAAAAGAATAGCTAAACAAATAATAACAATATGCGTTTTACTTCAATAATAATTGTTTAAAAAATATTAAAACTATAAAAACTTTATAATAACAAAAAATTAATAAAAAAAGTCGCCAATGACAACCTTATTTTGAAATTTGTTTTAATCTTTGTTAATCTAAAGAACCAGTTTTTCGTCATTGTCTCGATTACTATGAGACCTTTTTAAAGTACCAACTATAGAGCCAAAGTGCAACGAAAAAGGTTTTCTTGTCATGTTTTGATTGGAGCAAGATTTCTAGGAGAAAAGTTGTTTACAGACGGAAATAGAAAAATATACGCACATACTTTGCACGGTGGATGGGCCACTATTGTAGGTGAGAAGTTGGGGAGGGGTAGTAGAGGGGAAATCGAATGTATGTCTGTACGCAACGATTAACCATTGTTAACGAAAACCGATTCTGAGCAGAGTTCGGTTGATAGTATTGCTTTTTCAACAATGTATGTGTCATATTTTGGTGAAATAATTACATATACGCATTTAACGTTTTCTTTGATAATATTTGTTTAATATTATACCTGTTATCCCGGTTTCTACCATGTTTTTCCCATTCGTCGGGAAAACTCCTGGGAAAATCGAAAAACGACCGACCGGGGCGAAATGCCGCCCCGGTCGGATATTCTTCTTTCTTTATTGTTTTTTAATAAAACACGCCTCGCTCCACCCAGAGTCCGGAAAACGCGCATATCGGCGAAACCGTCAGAACACTGGCTTTCACGCAGAATCGATTGTAAACAACACGGTAGTCCGTGTGATCGCGGACCGTGACGGCGCAACACCGTGTTCTTTCTGTCGGTACCGCCGGCCACTCGATAGTACGCGACATCGTACCCGTGTACGGCAATGTATCGTTACGACGCGCGCGCGATCAATCCGGGCATTTTCGTTAATTCGACATTATCGGCTGCGCCCCCTGCCCGCCAGTCGCACATCGCCCTTGCCCCTCCCCCCCCTCACCCCGACACAGAGTTCCGCGCGCGGTTCCGTGGTATACATACGGATTATCTATTGTTGAGAGGAAAAAAAAATAAAATAATAAAAAAAAAAAAAATGATTATAACCCCGAGAATAAGGCCGCAACACGGATAATAATATCGCGGGACGTGTAAGTACGTAGAATAATAATAATAATAATAATAATAATAATACAGTTTACGCGGGTTTGAATTTTTCCAATTATGCGCGCTCTCTCCGGAATCAACGTCGCCGTAATAATAATCATAACGACAATAATAATAATAATATGTCACTTCCATGCGCGTTCTAACGGGGTTGACATCCGAATCGGCCGACGCCCGGAACTCGGGCGGTTAATCCCGGTGTCGAGCCGGCGCCGCGGTTCGCATAATATTATAAATATTCTAGTCGTTCGTTTGCGGCGCGTATAACGAGATTACAGTATTTCGGGTCTTATCCCGTTGTGCGCGGGTTTTCGATATGGCGTTTTTATATTTTTTTTTTTAATAGATTTATCGAAAACGCATTACGTAAACGCTCAATGCGTGCACGTACAACGCCCACACCTACGAGTGCCTGCAGGTAGGCGTCATAACAATAATAATAATAATAATACACAGAATATTATTTTCCAATTTTTCATTCGCCTCGTACCAATAACCGGCGCGCGAAAAAAAAAAAAACGGTGTTTACTAATCGAACTGTGAAATTCGAATTATATTTGCACCGGAAAACGCGGAATGACGAAATCTCTATTTTGCGTGAACAGTGCACGTTAAGTCAATAGTTTTCCCAATATTGAACGTGTAACGGCACCGTGCGTTCCGGGATAGGTCGTGATTTTCCGACACACGTCACATACCGCAGTGACTTAGAATCTAACGCGCCTTTCAAGTACGCCGTGTAAGAAAAGTTAAGGACCGGATTGACAGGAATGCACATCGGATAGGAATGGTTGGATGAACACGTAATATTCTCTGGGCGGTACTTAAACGGGGTCACTTTTTGAAATCATCATAAATATTCGAAATAATGAAGAAAACCTTGTTCTCTAGGGTTGAAAACGATTGAAAGATCAAATATAAAGTTGTCATCGCAGTCAACGGTTTTTATTTATTTTTCGTTAACTATTAAGTTTTTATCGTTTTAATCTTTTTTTAAACGGTCATTGTTGTCGTGGAACGCACGTTGTTGTAAACATTTTACCAGCATAATATAGCATATGGATATATTGTTGAAAAACCGAACAATCCGCTCAGAATCGTATTTCGTCAACGACGGTTCATCGTTGCTTACAGATACACGGTAAATCCCCTAGCTATATCCTGTCTTCCCGAATTCCCACCACAAAACAGTGGCCGCACCCGTCCCCATTTATCCTTGGACAGTTTTTTTTTATTTGCTTATACAGTTTTTTTCGAAAACGTGAATTTCCCGATGGGAGACGGACGGGATAGGACGTCGCGCGAAAATCGTGCAAGAACACTGCGGGGATGAAAACCCCGTGTACGCATTGTGTACTCGAGTACGCCTCGTACTACTCCAGCGAGCCGCAGTATAGTGTGTTTAACACGTCGTACGTGCGTATTGTCGTAGTCGTCAAATCGGACGTCTGGCCGGTGAGTGGTGGGAGGGGGGGGGGGGGGTGGCGGCGAGGGGAGTGAAGGCGACGGACGGAGAGGAGGCAATAAGGCGCGCGACACGGCGGTGATGCGTGCCGCGTTTGCGGGGGCGCGGTTACAAGCGCGAAGTGAGGTGGGAGGGGACGGCGGTGAACACGGGGATAAAGAGTGTAGAAAACGCTTACGCGCGTGTTTTTGTCACCGCCACCGCGGCCGCGGTCGGTGATTAGGCTGGCAAACATGTCAAATTCACACGGCGCACAATGGATCGGCCGCCGCGTCGATGTCACTAACCGTGCCGCTAAAAATCCGTTCGCGGCGACGACACACGCGGCCGCCCCTTATATTATACAATATTATTTCCCCTCGCGCGTGGT